GCATGGAAGATCGGGCAGTTGTGCATGGCCATGCAACAACAGGAGGTGCTGGTGATGAGCCTTTGTACTTGAAAGCCCAGTCGCTTTTCTACCCACACATGATCAGACTCAGCGAGTTCAGATTGGGCCACCACGTACTATGGAAAACAGCCGTCGCTGCCACCTTCCCATACCTGCTGTGCAGTGCGTCAACCAGAACAACGACAATGACGATGATGAAAGAGGTCAACGGTCAGCCGTTGACTGTGGCTGATGTGAAGGTCAATCCAAAAATCCTGGCTGGGGTTGCAGAGCAAGTGGAGGCATTGTTGCAGGTCAGGCTGACCCATGCTGACATTCGTTACCCAAATGTGGTCGTCCTTGTGGATGGCCGGAGCAGTTTGCTGGACCTCGAATCTTTGATCTGCGAGGAATTGCCAGACACGAAGTCAATGCGCCTTGAGTATTGTACCATGAGCGAAAAGCCATTTGACCTTCTTGGTTGCGCTGCGTGGCAATTTTCACTACTGCTGTACAGGGCCTTTCGGCCGAGTGGATCCGTGGAGGAGACTAGGGAGATGTTTGAAGAATGGCTCCGACAAGAATGCAACAACAGCACGCCATTGCTGCAGCTCGCAATGAGGCATGCCTCTGAGGCACATGCACCCCAGTGTCCAATGCACACAGGCTTCAAAGCACTTGCAATGAAGACTCTTGAGCAATTCGGCCTACGTAGCAAAAGGACTTTGCAGCGCGAGATGCCGGGGCAAGAATTGCATGAGTTGTAAGGCCAACTTGTGTTTACACATTGCGTCGCTGTGCAAAGCGCTTGATGCAATCCACTCATGTTCGTCCAAGTGACGCCATTTGCAGTTGAGCGCGCAGTGCACCTGTGATACCTCAGCTTGCGAGTTCACTGGCGCTAAGCCGAGTCCCTTAACTAACGATTCTAGCCTTGCGAGCGGATCGATGCGCAGCTTAGGGATCCTGGAAGCACTGAGCCCCCACGCCTTGCAGGCGTGCCCATAATTCCAGCCGTAGCACAGAACAAACATAACATTCAATCATCGAAAACGCATCCATGAAGTCCTTGTTGCCACAGCTTGAAGCCGATGCAGAGGCTCCTCAAAAGGTGCAGCGAAGCCACCTGCAGCTAGAGAAGCAGGGGCGAACTTTCTGGTTGAGTGCAGCCTCTGAATATGCAGTAGTGTCACAAAAACTCCAGTCGCTTGAAATTTTCCATCGCCTGCAGGACACTGCAGACTGCAGATGCAGAGGTCCATGCCACTGGAGAGGTCGCACTCTGCAGTACTGTCAGTGAGATAGTCCCTGAAGCTTTCTCGTTGCCTGCAAGACACCTTGCCAATGCAGCTGCAGCCCCCTGACAACTGCACCGAAACTGCAGCTTTCACAGAAAAGACAGAGTGGATTTTTGTTCGGCTCTTGAAGTTCTTTTAGGTATTTAGCTTTGTGCTGCCTTAGGGTTTAGGGTTTATAGAAATTGTATAGGGTTTGGGTCCCAATAACGTTTTGAGCGAAAGTTTTGACCGAAAGTTTTGAGCGAAACGTTTTTTTTTGAAATCACCTTTTATTTTGGGAGGGGGCTGGGGCCTCCTGAGCGAAAAGCTCCTGGGAGCTAATTTTGGGAGCCAATGGGCTTTAGGAGCCAACCGAAAGCTTTGGGAGCAAGTTTCCTGTTTTGGGGCCTCCCGGGGCTCTGTTTTGGGGCCTCCCTTTGGTGCCTCCCGGAGCCCTGTTTTGGGGCCTCCCGGGGCATTTTAAAGGTCCCGGCTGCGCCTTAGAAAGCAGGCTCGATCATGCGACCCACAACTCGCGAGCAAGAAAGGTCCAGACTCACTTCGAGATGGTGTAGTGTCCTAGCCTAGGGCATACACGAAACCCCAAACCGGCTTGAACATATAGAGAGTCCGCAGAGCTTGAAATCCTACCCGTCCTACCCCAAAAGAGGTCCGCGCATATAGGGTCTGAGTAGACTAGATCTTGCAACCCTCAAGGCCAATCCCAAATCCACAAACGCCTGAAGTCCATCCCAAAGACCCTGAACACCTACGTAAACTCCTAAACCCTTAAAGCCTTTACGCCCTGATTCGAAGCCTGAAGCTTTTGAATCTACAGAACATCGCGCGAACTTCGCCCGTTCTGCCTTGCACGCCCGGAGCCACCCACTGTGATTCATGTACTGTCACCGTACCTAATCTATAGGCCCATGGCCACAATGATTTTTTATATGAGTGAGACTCTGAAAGATTGAGTGTCGTTACGTTTGGTTTGCATTTACACTTTGCACTTACACCGGCTCGAACTCGCCGCCCGTGTCACGCAAGGACAGCAGCAGAAGCGCAATAGCAATGCAGAAAACAAAACAGCAAACAGATGGCGCCACTTATTTGCAAGCCTGGCCGAATCCACATCGGGAACGCGTGTGAGAAGCATTGCCCAATCCCGCCTGCACAGGCATAGCAGCCAAGCGGAACTCAAGACACTCGGAGGATCATTCGTGCAATAGAATAGAACACATCCTTCAGCAAGCTTTCCAGCAAGTGTTCAAACAACCGAGAAACCTGCGTCCAACGAATAACTTGTCTCGAACAGTGCAAACATATTCAGAAAATATTCAGAATGGAAGAGAAAATACAAGTTATTCGGAAATCAATTGAAAAATATTTGGAAAATATTCAGATCTTGATTTGGAAATAACACATATTCGGAAATCAAGTTGAAAAATATTCGGAAATATTTCGGAAATGGATTTGGAAAAAAATCGCACTCGGAAATCAAATCGAAAAACAAATTGAAAATAAATTGGAAATCAAATTGAAAAAAATCGGTTCAGAAACCAGATTGGAAATTTTTCAGAAATAAATTGGAAACAATTGAAACCCAGGATTCCTTGAGCAGGCCGGCAGCGGACTTGTCAACAATAGATATTTGCATCTTTTTATATTGCGAAATCTGCTCTAGGGAATAAAACTGGCGTGGGACAGTGTCGCGATGGTCGTTTTCCAAAAAATCTGCATTACACGCGGCAGCACGGGGGGCGTTTCGGTTGCAGGGTTCATAACCAATTTTGTTCGAACTTTGGACCGGTCACATTGTGAACTAGAACTGGCGCGAGCTGCAAGAACCCCTAAACGGCGTGTGATGCTTTCACCTGCTGTGAGAGCCCCAAAAGCACGTCTGATGCGTTCACTTTGCCGGCAGCTGCCAAACTCCCAAAAACACCTGCTTGCGATTCGTCTTTTTGGAATTTGTTGCGATCTTCTTCGTTTAAAAATGGTTAACAATGGTCCGCAAGAACAGGTGGCGCACTTGCAGGATTTCATGCACAAAGAAGACCTAATCCACCCCATTTGCACACACAGAAATTCGCGAGCAAGCACCTCGTTTTTGAGGTTTTTGTTGGCTTCCTTTAGCTGAGTTTTTAACGCTTTGCGGCGGGTAGCAAGCTCGGCCACGGCGTCCATTCTGTGCACAGTTTGAGCGGTGGTCTTGAGCAGTGCGGCTTTGATGGGCACAGTTTCCAGGTCTAGAAAGCCGCTGACTTTGTCATTGAGCTGCTTCTTCCCCGTACAGTAGCCACTGGCTGAGATTTTGCCCTCAAAAAGCCGTTCTACTGCCTATGCGTCGAGATTCATCCCCAAGCGCCAGTTTCTGCCTGCAGGTCTATTCTCCCACCAACGACAGTAGTCCCGACTTTCTTGCGAGCCAAAGTCGTGTCAATCCTTGGCATGACGATGCTCCTTTCACCCGGTGAAAGCCCTACCGCCTACCTCCGTCAAGACATTGATAGCTGCCCCGAGGCTTCAGGTCGAGGCGCTCTCAATGGCTCAGACGAGCAGACAACCCTTACGCTTAGCAAACGGAGCCTGTTGCGAGCCTCTAGAGTTAGCACCCTTGGCGAGGTTTGCAAGGCTGCCGGCAACAACAACAGTTTTTTTTTCGGGGGCGGACTTTGCGTACTGCAAAAGGTCACTCCCTTGGGAAACCTCATGCACCGGAGGGTAACAACACCTCCTGCCCTACCACAGACGACAACGCACTCTCCGCTTACCTCGGTGGGGGTTGCCTGGTACCTCTCTTCGAAGATAACGCAGTCTCCGGGATGGCCCTCCGAAGGGTTACAGCATGGGTCCCTTACTCCAGAATATCTAGAGATGGCTTGGAGCCGCCGCTCCTCCCGGCCCACTCCACAGCACCGACCTGGTTGTCCGGATGCTCGGTTGGGGCCGTTTATGGGTGCTCTGGATGTCAAACGGATGGCACTCACGTAGGGCTCATCCGACTCTCATCGGGTTCGGTCGTTAACTACCTGGAACCACTATAATGTAACTATGTATGCCGATTTCTGTCTTCTGGTGCGTTTATGTACTTCACAGTGATCGCTGCACGGCGATGCCGCAGTTTGCTCAGCAAGTGACACGCATTGCAACGGATATCTTACACTCCCTGAACCCCGACACCTGCAACACGTTTTTCGCTTCCATCACTTGGCTTTTGAGGTTCCGGCCTTGTTTCAGTGTCAGATGTGTCCCGATGCGGCTCAGTCCTTTTTTTTTTGGTGTTCCTTTGTTGTAGTTTCAACCCTGAGCCCAGCGCCAATCCTCAGCCCGGGTCCCAAGAAGTCTGCCGGATCCTGCCATGCTTTTTGTGCCATGGCGGTCTTGGGCCAGGGAATACTGGCATGTGCGTTGGTGCGCGCTGTGCCAATGGTCGGCACGCTGAAGGGTTCCTGGTGAAACCTCTTCCAGCTTTCAGTTCAAAGTTCACCATAGCAAGTTGTGGGTAGTCTTACCAAGCTCCTGTCTGGTGCATATGCGTCTTTGAAACAGCTGGGGTTGAGTGACATGTCATTTTAACACACCTGCACTTGCAGACTTCAACTTGGGACTTATTCTCGTGGCAGCGCGGCTGACTCTGACCGTACACAAGGGTCCTTATTCTTTGACTCGTCCCCCGATGCTCCCAGTAGGAAGCGTAGGGAGGGGTACATCATTGCCGAGGGCCGCCGCCTTGAGCGACTGGCTGCCTGAAGCCGTTCCACGCCTGCAGCTTCATTTGCATCATTTCGCTGCTGCTGTTGCTGCAGCTACTGCGAGAAGCACCCCCATCACTTTGTTGCCAAAAGAGTATATTGGTTTCACGTTCCGGAGGATGCCCTTCGGTCTTAACCCTAACCTGAACCATAAGCCTAAACCAATTTCCTTAAGCCCGAAGTAACTCGAGGCAAAGACTGCAAGTTCCAGCTTCCAAGAACACGAGAGATTGGCTTCCTGGGTGGAGCTTCGACAGTTTTCTGTTTCCACAAGACGGAGTTGTGACGGAAGGTGACCGCATGTTGCTTACGACGGATCTCTCTCACGCTCTCGGAATTCATATCAAGACCAAGAACAGCACAGCATGTTCCACATTGAGTTTTGGGTCAACTTACTGAGCCTGTGAGGTCTTTGTAGGTTTATTTTGTTGGAGAGAGGCTTGTGCTCCCGAGGCTACAGCTTGAACAAGCACTTTTGCATTGTCCTTCGAATATGGGTAGTCCTGAAAATTAGGGTCCTTTGCTAGGTCCCCAAAATGTACGGCAAGCATAACAAGGACAACGATTTCGACCCTAACTTAGAGAACTACCCATTTGGGTAGTTCTCTAAATTAAGGTTCCTTTTTAGGTCCCCAATATAGTACGGCACAATATATAAACAGGACCACAAAAGCGACCGTAATTTAGAGAGCTACCCATGTGTCTGAGGTTTTCGAGAAACAGGAAGGGGTGGTTGGCGTGTCTTCGGAGGACCGGTTGATCTGCTCCTGGGAGGATTTTTAGGGTTTAGGGTTGAGGGTTTGGGGTTTAGGGTTTAGGGGTTTAGGGTTTAGGGTTTCGGATGGAGGGGCTTGGGGTTTAGGGGTGTTCTGAGGTATTGGATCGATTTTTAGAACTGAAGTACAGGGTTCCGGGGTGGCAAGTTCAAGATTTAGTAGCAAGCGGCAGGGCCCTCCCGATCACCAGCACCACAATCCTCACCACGGCAATCTCACCGGAGTGCCACCACCATGCAAACTAGCATGTGCAAACGCTAAAGCCTAAACCTAAGACCTAAAGCCTAAAGCCTAAATCCTAAACCCAAGCCCTAAAGCTTAAACCCTAAACCTAAGCCCTGAACCCTAGATGTTATCATCGATCTCTCCAAGCTGCAGGACCAACACAGATACACCTGCCACGAAGAGCCTTGCATCTTCAGCTGCGAGACCACGGCCGGTCAGGTGGTCTTGGGGCATGTTCGAGGTATCTGATTTTATATTAGACTTGAGCTACATGAAGACATCACTGTAGGTTTGTATAAAGGTATATCTCACTATAGCTATACTACAAAAAAAACATCGAAAGATAGCTGGTGATCTTTCAATTCAAGCCCTTGCCTTTTAGGAGGGTCCTGGGCAAGCCCTTACCGTAGTCGCAGTCTTTCGGTTTAGATTGGCAGGAGGCAGGAAGCCTTTGGAAAATTCTACGTCCTATGTCCTAGATGGGGGCTTATATAGGGTTTATGGGTTTAGGGTTTAGTTTAGGGTTTAGGGTTTTGGTTTATAGTAAACCCCAACAAGTTGGAAACCGTACTAAGGACAACTAGTGCTGGGGTTCCTTGTACATGTCTCTGAAGGATTGAGGCCATTGGGTTTCCAACTTTTGGGCTTCTACTGTATCTAGGGCTTCTATAGGGTCTAGAGTTTAAGTCCTGAACCCGACGACTGGTCCTATGACGATTGGGTTTACCCGGGTATGCCCCCTCCGAGCAGCTTGCTGGAGCACCAGAGGTTCCATCCCTGAGCCCTTGCAGGAATCTCTGCCCCTAAGCGTGGTGAACGACGATTTCTGTTTCCTGGCTGCTTTTGAGGCTCATCCTGCAGGGGTGTGCGCATTCTGAAGCAGATAGGAATGTCCTTGGTTTGCTCGGTTTTTGCTCGGCAAGAAGTGACTATGCTGTATTGAGACTCCAAGAAAGAAAGCCTCTGTGTTTCGGCGTCATCGGCTGCTTCGAAGCTCTGTGCCTTCCCTGATATCCCCCAGAGCATGGCTTCTCAAGATTTCTCCAAAGCTGGGTTCTGCTGCTTCCCTAAGGCGATTGTGTGGATCCTCGGCGGCTGCACTTGGTTCCGGTTTCTACGGCCCGTTTCGACAGTTCAGGGTTCAGGGGTCAAGGGGCAGCTTTCAAGTCAAAGCATACTCCTGATGGTATAAATCCTGCGTTGCCATAAGGACCCTAAACTATGGGAATTATGGTATATTCCTTATTATGAGTAATGCAGGATTTATATCAGCAACCGTAGTTCGGACATGTTCGGACACTTACGGGTGGGGGCGTAAACTTTCGCCTCAGTCGGGTAGCTGCCCAATGGGTAGTCTTCTAATTAGGGTCCCTTTTAGGGTCCATATTATAAGGGTGCCCTACTAGATTCAAGGCTTTGGGTTTAGCTGAGGGATTGGTGACCCAAAAAGAGACCCTAATTTAGAGA